CTTAAATATATATCAATATGTATACATATATATGTAATGTAGTTTTATAAACGTAGTTCAGGAACGGGGCCACGCCCAGAACACTGCTCATTTCCTCTGCACAGAGTATTTAAGCACAATGAACTCGTTCACTCCCTCTTCGACTCTCGTCTTCACATGACGTACGACAGACGCTCCAACTCAGCAGACGCTCCAACTCAGCAGACGCTCCATCCCTACACCCCTCTACCTACACCCCTCTACCTACCTACCTCTACCTTCCCGGCGCCATTAGGAGCGCGCCGTTGACGTCATGACGCAGCACACGGCGGAAGAAGCCCATCCATCTACATCAGTCCCTCCAGAGGGCCAGGTCGTATACTCTGATTGTGAATCTTTAATCTGATTTTAATAGGCCAATAAGTACCCTATTAGGGTAATGAGACCGGTACCAAGGCTATGAATCGATCCTTTTCAAAGACGAGCCACGATTAAATATCTGTAAAACTGCATGCGGGAGTCAGATATATGGCGTTCAGGAGAAGGTGTTTTAGTGTAAGTTAGGCTGCTGCTTCCAGTCTGTTGTTGGCCTCACTTAGATGTGTTTAGAGAAGGGCAGTCGACTGCGTCCTGCCTTAAGTCATCCCATACTGACTTCGGCCGTCAAGCTCCCCCCGCGCCAGAGACATCTCCTTGCAATGTTTTTCCCCCTAACTTCATGATTAACCCAGGCACATCCATCCTGGCATCCTTTCATGTTCTGTTACTTCTACATTACATTACAGTCATTTAGCAGACGCTTTTATCCAGTAGACTAGCAGAGCCGGAGCCGGGGATTGAGCCGCCGACCCTCTGATTGAAAGACGGCCCTGCTATCCACTTAGCCACAGTTGCCCACCTTCCAGCTTCTACCTTCCAGTTCCACCCACCTCGGCCAACTTCGGCTAACTCCTCCCACCTCTACCAGCTGCCCCAGCTGCACAGACTGCTCCAACAACAGAACAGGTAGGTATATGGCACAGCTAAGGGAGCAGCTCGGGGTTGGTTTTCTTGCCAGGGACGCGACAGTCGCTTCTTCCTGCCTA